TTGTTTTCCTCCATTGCAGCTTTCCTTTCTTCAGTTTCACTAGCAAATGTACATGGGTCAGTGGACTGTCATTTTCCCTTCTGGGCTTTCCTGGGCTTCGCTGTGGTCTGTTAGGGCTTCCACATATAGCTTAGCTCTTTCATTTACTACAGCCCTCACTGATAGAGCTTCTACTGCTTTGCTCCTTCTTCCCTACAGTCCCCTATTTGTGACTGAGGTAGCAGTCTCTGCTGTAAATCCCAAAATGTTCTTAGTTCTTAGGCTTTTCAGATTTTTCAGTTCCTTTTTAATCTGTATCCAGGCCTCTGCTGCTTTGACTTGCGCCTCCCATTTCCCTGCTTTCCATTACTATCCTTCTTCCTTTTCTCATGGTAAGTTCTTCTAGTTTCCTTTCCATTCATGTTCCCTTTTATGAGCCTGCTGCCCAATCTTCCTTTTCAGCTTCCTCCTCCTGTCCCTTGGTTTTTCTTGTTGCTCTCTGGGAACTCATTTTTGTTTTATCCTGATTGCCTCAGAGTGGGAAACCTATGTAATTCTGTGTGTTAGGTTAGTAGTGTGCATGTCAGAGTGTGGGGGGGGAGGTAGAGGAGGAACTGTGGCTATGTGGGAAAGGGGTGGGGAGGGGGGGGGGGAAGGAGGGAGAAACAAGTGGGTAAGTGGGAAGGGAGGGGGGGGAAGGAGGGAAAGGTGGGGAGGGGGGGTGGGCAGAGGGAGGGGAGGGATCAGGGGAAGGAGTGGGATGTCGGTGGGGGGGGAGGGGAATGTAGTGTGAGTTTTGGATGGTGTGTGTGTGTGTGTGTGTGTGTGGTGTGTGTGTGTTGTGTGTGTGTGGGGTGTGTGTGTGTGTGTGTGTGTGTGTATGTGTGTGTGTGTATTGTGTGTGTAGGGGGGTGTGGGGGGTTGTGTGTGTGTGTGTTGTGTGTGTGTGTGTTGTGTGTGTGTTGTGTGTGTGTGTGTGTGTGTGTGTGTGTGTTTTGTGGTGTGTGTGTGTGTGTGTTGTGTGTGTTGTGTATGTGTGTGTGTGTTTGTGTATGTGTGTGTGTGTGTGTGTGTGTGTGTGTGTATGGTGTGTGGTATGTGTGTGTGTGTATGTGTGTTGTGTGTGTGTGTGGGGTGTATGTGTGTGGGGTGTGTGTTGTGTTGGGATGTGTGTGTGTGTGTGTGTATGTGTGTGTGGGGGTGTGTGTATGTGTGTGTGTAATTATGTGTGGGTTTAGTATGTGTTTGAAAAGTAGGTGACTTGTGCTTGGAGTGGTATGTGGATTCTCAGTGGTCGCTTGTGACCACAACCTTTTGTGACCTGCCCCCAACCCTCCTGGGACTTGCCCACACCTTCTACAATGTTGCCTATGCCTGACCTACCACCTAGGTTATAGTAAGTTACTCGCCTTGTTCAATGGATTATCAATTGATATTCCTTATTGAATACCTTAGTGCCTATTCTTTATCGTGCTATGAGAGACCATTTGCAATCAGCTTGGCGGTTAATTGGAGCCTAGAACCCCACACCCATACAACCACTCATAGGTGATTACAGTACTTGCAATGCAGCTGTAGCAGCCTGTAGATTGTCCAGCTCGATGTGATGTAGATCCCCCTCAATTTCTTCTCGTTAATAATGTACCCTATTCACTGTATTTATCGCACTGGTCACACGATTGTTTCACTTTATTATCTTTCTTGGGTGACACGTGACAACGTCGCCTGAGCACACACACTAGCCTGCCAGCCCTGACTGCGCACCATGTTTTACTTTCTATATCACGAAAATGCGGCTCTCCCTACACTTATGTGGCTCAGGCAGATTATAAATCCTTCAAGGAATTGTTCACTATCCTAGCACACTTAGCTACCCTTCAGATCACTTGGGTAGCCCTCGAAAACACTTAAATCCGCGGAGCGCGGAAGGCGTGACCGGCGCACGCACTGACGAAACGGTGTGTGTGTACTCACCTAGTTGTACTCACCTAGTTGAGGTTGCAGGGGTCGAGTCCAAGCTCCTGGCCCCGCCTCTTCACTGGTCGCTACTAGGTCACTCTCCTGAACCATGAGCTTTATCGTACCTCTGCTTAAAGCTATGTATGGATCCTGCCTCCACTACATCGCTTCCCAAACTATTCCACTTCCTGACTACTCTGTGGCTGAAGAAATACTTCCTAACATCCCTGTGATACATCTGTGTCTTCAACTTCCATCTGTGTCCCCTTGTTACTGTGTCCCATCTCTGGAACATCCTGTCTTTGTCCACCTTGTCAATTCCTCTCAGTATTTTGTATTCGTTATCATGTCCCCCCTAGCCCTCCCGTCCTCCAGTGTCGTCAGGTGATTTTCCCTTAACCTCTCCCCGTAGGAAATACCTCTTAGCTCTGGGACTAGTTTTGTTGCCCAAACCTTTGCACTTTCTCTAGTTTTTTTTACGTGCTGGCTAGGTGTGGGCTTCAGACTGGCGCCCGATACTCCAATATGGGCCAAAAGTACACGGTGTACAGGGCCCTGAACCTTTCCTTTTAAGATGCAAAAATTTTTTCTGGGTTTGCCGGGTGCCCATTGCGCAATTTATTTGGTTGATTGCGCTTCAGGAGATGGCTGGTGTTATTCCCCCAAAGATTTTTTCCTTGAGTGGGGTTTGTGTCTTGGCCCCCTGACTGTACCCCCTCTGCGGTTTTCTTTCCCCTTTCCCCCAATCTTCTTGATTTTGATTTTGGGGGATGATAGGGAATTGCTGGCCCCGGTCGCAGTTGTCCGACCCTTGTTTCTGCCTGGTCTTGGGAAAAATAAAATTTTCCTATCAATTTTCACGTCATTGAAAACAAGGACACCCCCGAGTTATTCCTTCCTCATGTCGTTCACAAAAACCGAAACAGCAGGGCCCTGGGCGACCCCTTGGGACCCCGGGGCACAGGTCCCCACTTGACACCTCCCCAAATACCCTACTCACTGAGTCTTCCTGACAAGTATGTTTGGGGTGTGTGTGTGTGTGTGTGACGGGAAATTGCAGTACAGCAAACGGATATTTTAGAACCATTTATGAAAAAAAAACAAAGATGTGCCAATTTTTGGGATCCCCATGGGGGTTGGAAGTTACCCGGCAAAAAACCATGAAAGTTTTCTGAAAAGAAACTGCGAGAGGATATGAAGATTTTTGGTGATAGTGTGATAGAATAATGAAAAGAAAAATTTAAGTTTTAAAAATTTGGCGGGAAGTGAGAATGATGATGTAGTGGTGGAAGGTTAAGGTATGAGTAGACCTTAGAAAAGGAGACATAAAGACTTATGTGGAGGCTTTACTCCAACGTATTCCCCCAAGCGGACTTTACGAACACTTTATGGGAAATTATGAGAACGTTTAAATTTTGTAAAGGTAATGACATGGTGATGGCGTGAGGTGATTTGAAAAGACGTAAAGGTGTGAACAAAGTAGAGGCGAATTGAGAACTTATGAAAAAATGGGATCTTTTTGAAGAAAAAAGTTTCGCCCCCACAGGGTTTATCAGTCCAATACAAAGTAGAAATGGGTAAGGAGAGTAGAAGTATGTGGTAATAAGTCCCTCAACCTGGATTCGATGTGTTCAGTCCTCACTCTTGTAGTAAGTGCAGCATAGGGCAGAGAGGTGGCTTATATATGCGGTGAGATGAGTTGTAGCAGGGAGGCGGGTATCTTTAGTGGGACGTGCAAACTAGTGTAAGTAGGTCGTCGTCCAAAGGTTGGGCAGCGTTGAAGTCTAGGGTTATACAAAGCAAAAGACTTACAACGCTTGCCCAACCTTTGGACGACACGACCTACTCTTACACTAGTGGCCAGTCCCACTATGATCCCGCCTCCCTCCTGCTTCATGGTCATCTCACCGCAGTATATAAGCCAACCTCTAGGCCCTTATTGCTGCACTTACTACAATGAGTGATGGATTGAACACATCGGATCCAGGTTGAGGGGACTGATTACTCATACTTCTACTTCTATTACCAATTTCTACTGTGTATTGGACTGATGAAGCCATGGTGTGGCGAAACGTTTCTTCAATAAAGATTCCCCATGTGTTGCAGAGTTCTCAATTCTTCACTTGTCGGTTTTCAACCATTCATCACAAACAGTAGAGGCGCAGCAGTAATAATTGAAAGACGTACGTGGTTAGACACGTGTAAGTAGAAGGACCGAATTATTTCGATTAAATTCCCATCTCTACACGTTTGTTAAATATTTAATACATGTTTGTCTATGCAGCATTTTGGAATATCGACAGTGTTTTTCTTCCTGCATCCAGTAATAGTGGAGACCGGAAGGTGAGAGCAACTGCTTTCCGTTCTTATCTCTCTAGACAGGGAATCTGCAGGGCCATTCCAGCGGACATTTCTCTTAACCATTTCATACAAAATAAGTTTTTCGCTGAGGACTGAGTTTATCGAGTTCAAGTCTTCAATGAAAAAGCTAAAACAAAACTGTCTCCATTATGTTCTACCTGTTTTTAAAAACCGTCGCTACCGACTCAGAGTTTTTAATTTTTAGGGCCGATTTTAAATACAAATTTAAAGGGATGCAGGAAATTATAGGTTGGCAATAAGTTTGTAGAAGAGGGGGAAAAATTTCCAAGAAGGAATTTGAAATATATGTTTTGGTAGCTTCAAGGTAGATCCTACAGATAAAAGTGGGAAATTGAGGGCCCCCAAAATGCAAAAGTTGCTGGAAAATTTACAACTAATCTATTTTTTAAAATAAAAACGCTGTCATTTGATAATGGTTTTTTGAATTAAAAGAGGCAAAAATTTTTCATTAAAAAATTCTGTGTTAGTTGAAAAAAATGGCCCGAGAAATGGTTGCTTGTAGATAGGACTTACCTTTTATTTGATCCCCTTTAGACCGATTTAGTGAAACTCCGCAAGTTATTTCCCATGAAAAACACAAGTAAATACATGGAATGAAAAAAAAAATAGACATTTTAAAACCATTTTACGAAAAAAACTTATAATCTCCGTGTTCTACAATTTTCCCTTTTCTCCGACAGTGACCATCAGTTGATAAATTCGGGGATAGCTGTACGTAAGCGCCCTGACGAAGACGCGGAAGAACGAGGAGAGTGCGGTACGTGTTGTTGTATCATGTTTGTATAAACCCAGATTTCAAAATGGAAACTGAAGTTACGATATGAGGGGGTGAAACTGTTTGTCGGGTGCAGTTATTTGTGCAGGTTAAACAGGAGCGCAGGTAAGGTGTATTGTAGGTAAGGTGTTTGATGGGTTCAGGTTGAGGGAGGTACAGGTAGTTTTAGGTACAGGTGGGGTGTAAGGTGTGAGGAAGGTACAGGTGTGATGGTGGGTAAGGTGTGATTGTAGGTACAGGTGTTTTGATAGGAACAGGGTGTTGATAGGAACAAGGTGTGATGGTTTACGGGGTGATGGTGGGTACGGGTGTGATGTAGGTACAGTGTGATAGTAGGTCAGGGGGTTTAGGGTAGGACAGGTGTGAGTGGGTTCAGGGTATTGATAGGAACGGCGTGTTGATAGGAAAAATGTGTTGATAGGAAAGGGTGTGTGGTAGGTACAGGTGTGAGGGTAGGTACGTGTGAGGGATAGGTACGGTGTGAGGTGGGTACGGGTGTGAGGGTGGGAAAAAGGTGGAGGTAGGTACGTTAAAGATGGGTACAGGTGTGATGGTGGGTACAGTGCGTTATGGGTGCAAGTGAGAGGGGTAGGTCAGTGTGATGTGGTACAGGTTGATGGTAGGTACAGTGTGATGATAGTAAGGTGTGTGGAGGACAGTGTGAGATAGGTACAGGTTTGGGGGGGTGGGTACAGGTGTAAAAGGTACAGTGTGATGGTGGTACTGTGATTAATACACGTGTGATGGTAAGCAGGTGTGATGATAGGTACAGGTGGAGCGGTGCAGGTGATGATAGGTGCAGTGGCTAGTAGGTAAAAGGGAGATAGGTACAGTGTGATGGAAATACAGTGTGTGATGGTTTAAGGTGTGATGAAAATTACGGGGAGTTTTGATGGGTACGGGCGTGTGATGGTACAGTGTATGGTAGGTAAAGGTGTGATGATAGGACGTGTGAGGTAGGTCAGGTATGATGGTGGGTACCGTGTGTGATAGGAAAAGGGTGTGATGGCAGATACAGGTGTGAGAGTGGGGTACGTGTGATGATAGGTACAGTGTGAGGGTGGGTAAGGTTGGGGGTAGGCGTGTGATGATAGGTAAGGTGTGATGGAGTCAGGTATGATGGTGGGTCAGGGGATGATAGGTACAGTGTGATGGTAGGTACAGTGTTATGATGGGTACAGTGTGATGATAGGACGGGGAGTGTTGATAGGTACAGGTGTGATGGTAGGTCGTGTGGGGGTAGTACAGGTGTGAGAAGGTAGAGTGTATGATAGTACGGGGTTTGTGGTAGGTACATGTGATAAAGTAAAAGTGATATAGGACAGTTATGAAGGAAACAGTGGATGATGGAACGTGTGATGACAGGAGAGTGTGTGTAGTACAATGTGACGATAGTACGGTGGGATGATAGGACAGTGTGATGATAGGTACAGGTGTGATGATAGGTCGGTGTGATAGGTACGTGTGACGATAGGTAAAATGTGATCATGGGAAAAGTGGATAGGTCGTTGTGATGTATACAGTGTGTGTAAGTGCAGGTGTTTGAAGGTTCAGGTGTGATGGTACGCACGGGTTGATGATAGGTAGGTTGATGAAGATCAGGTGTGATGGTAGGAAGTGTGTGATAGGTACAGGTGGATGATAAATACATGTGATGTGGTACAGGTGATGATAATACAGTTGATGAAGGTACAGTGTGATGATATACAGGTGTGATAAGGTCAGGTGTGGATGGAACGTATGATGAAAAGGTACAGAGTGATGATGGTAAGTGGATGAAAGGTACATGTGAGATAGGTACAGTTGTGATGATAGGTACGTGCGATGAAGGACAGGTTTTTGATAGGTACAGTGTGATGATAGGACAGTGCGATGATAGGACGTGGGGAAAGGTACAGTGTGATGATAGGTACGGGGATGTGGGTACATTTGAAAAAGGTCAGTTTGTAATAGGACATTTTAAATGTAAGAACATGTGATGATAGTAAGGTATGAGGGAAGGTTTATAGGTATGGTAGATACAGGGTGAGGAGGACAGGTTTGATGGTAGGTTACAGTGTGATGATGGGTACAGTGGATGATAGGTACAATTGTTTTATAGGTACGATGCATGGTAGGTACAGTGTGAGGGTAGGTACAGGTGTTTGGTGGGTACGGGTGGATGGTAGGCACTGTGATGATAGGTACAGGTGATATTTCAGGTTGATGGTAGGTACAAGTGTGATGGTAGGAAGGTGTGTGATGGGTAAGTGGGATGTAGGTACAGTGTGATAAGTACAGTGTGGAAGGTACAGGTGTGAGATAGGTACAGTGTGAGATAGTCAGGTGTGATGGGGGGTCAGTGTGAGATAGGTCGTGGGGTGTGGGTTTACGTTTGATAAAGGGGACAGTGTGAGGTTTTGGTACATTGTGATAATAGGTAAGTGTGATGATGGGTTCAGGTGTGTGTAGGTACAGTGGTGATGATAGGTACATTGTGATGATAGGTGATATGGTACGTGTGATGAAGGTGATAGGTCAGTTGACTGGTACAGTTGTGATGGTAGTACAGTGTGATGATAGGTACAGGTGGATGATAGTACAGTGTGAGTAGGTACAGTGTGATGATAGGTACGTATGATGATAGGTCGGTGAGATGGGTACGTGCGATGGTAGGTAAGTAGGGGATAGGTGCGGTGATGATAGGTACAGTGTGATATAGGCATATGGGGAAAGGAAAGTTGATGATATGACGGGTGTGATGGTATACATTTTTGTGCAGGTACAGGTGTGATAGGACAGTGAGATGATAGATACGTAGAGATGGTAGGTGTGATGTAGGACAGTTGATGATAGGTCAGGGTGATGATAGGTAAGTTTTATAAAGGGTACAGTGTGATGTGGCACGTGTGTGATAGGTACAGTGTGATGAAGGAGAGTTGTGATGATGGTACAGTGTGATATAGGTACGGGTGTGTTGATGGTAAGTGTTATGATAGGTAAGTGAAATGAAGGAACGGGCCCGAGATGGGTACAGTGTGAAAAGGTACTGTGATGATAGGTACAGTGTGATAAATAGGTACAGTGTGTGATAGGTCAGTGTGATAATAGGTAAGTGTAATATAGGAACAGTGTGTTGATAGATACAGGAGTGATGGTAGGTACAGTGTGAGATAGGTAGGGGTGTGATGTACGTAAGGGATAAAGGACAGGGTGATGGTAGGAGAGTGTGTGAAGTACAGGAGTGGGGTGGTACAGTGGAGATAGGTAAGGTGTGATTAGTACAGTGTGAGCAGGTACGGGTTAGGTGGAAGGGAGGGTGGGTAAGGTGTGATGATGGGCAGGGAGAAAAGGTACAGTGTGATGTACGAACGTGTGTGCGGTCATTTGTGTGGTGGTTTTCAGTGGATGGAGGTACGGGTGTGATGATGGTACAGGTGTGTGATGGTACAGTGTGAGATGGTAATGTGATGGAAGGTCAGGTGTGATTAAGGTACATTTGTGTGATGGGTACAGATGTGATGGGGTACAGTGTGATGAAGGACGGTGCGATGATAGGTACAGGTGGGAAGGAACAGTGTGATGATGGTACAGTTGATGATAGGTACAATTATTTGGGTACAGTGCGAGGGTAGGTACATTTGGGGGGTGGTCAGGTGTTAGGGTGGGTCAGGTGTTGGTAGGCACGTGTGTGATAGGTCGTTGATGATAGTTCAGGTGTGATGGTGGGTAAAAGTGTATGGTATACAGGTGTGATGATGGGTCAGTGGGATGATAGGACAGTGTGTGTGATACAGTGTGTGATGGGTACGGTTGATGATAGGTACGGTGAGTAGGTACGGGTTTTGGTGAGAAGGACAGTGTGATGATGGGTCAGTGGGGGATGGGGAAAGTGTGATGATAGGTACGTTGGGGGATAGGTACGTTGGATAATAGGTCCGGTGTTGATGGACAGGTGGGGATGATGGGTACGTGGATGATAGGTACTTTGGGGAATGATAGGTGATGTAGGTAAGTGGTAAGGTGTTTTAAAGGTACATTTGTGTAAGGTCAGTTGTTGGGTTTAGGTACAGGTGTAAAAATTAAGGTGTGATGATAGGTACAGTGTGATGATAGGTCAGTGGATGTAGGCAGTTGAGATGGACAGTGGATGATGGTACAGTGGAGGGAGGTACGTTGGGATGGGTATTTGTGTGATAGGTACATTGTGTGTAGGTTACGTTGAGGAAGGGTCATGTGTGATAAGTACAGGGTATGGTTAGGTACAGGTTTGATGAAGGTAGGGGTTATAAAGGGTACAGTGGAGATAGTCAGTTGATGTGTACAGGTGTGATGTGGAAAGTTGTGATAGGTACGGGTGTGATGATAGGTAAGTGTGGATAGGTACAGTGTGATGATGGGACGGGTTGTATAAAGGGTACAGGGGGATGTAGGTAGGTTGAAAAGATGGGACAGTGGATGATAGGTTACGGTTTGTGTGATAGGTACGGTTATGTGGGTACAGTTTTATGAAGGAAACAGTGGATAATGGGTACAGTGTAGATGGCAGTGTGATGTTGGGTACAGGTGATGTAGGTAAGTGTGTGAGGAAAGGTGATATGGGTACGTGTATGAAGGAACAGTGTGGAGGGATAGAACAGGAGTGTGGAGGTACAGTGTGATATAGGTAGGGTTTGTGATATACGTACAGTGTGATGACAGGTACAGGTGTGATTTTGGGGATGTGTACAGGTGAGGGTAGGTACAGTGTGATGATGGGAAAGGGGTTTGAGATACGTACAGTGTGATACAGGTAAGGGTGATGGTAGGTACAGTGGATGGTAGGTACGGTGTGATGATAGGTAAGTGTGATGATGGGTACAGTGTGATGATGTACATGTGATGAAGGGTACAGGTGTGGTGGTTGGTACAGTGTGAGGAGGTACATGTGAGAAAGGGTACAGGTGTGATGATTGGTACAGTTGATTAGGTTTACATGTGATAAGGTACAGGTGGATTTTAGT